CGCCAGATATTCCCTGTCAGGTCCTGTGCTCCTTCAATCTCCCCCAGTCACCCCTCTGCAGTTTTTATAGGTTCAGCTTCTCATTTTATTAGTCTCTTTAGTATGTTTTTTCCACAGGTTTTTTTGTAGTTTCCCTTCCCCTTAGAATATTAGTTTATTTTGCTGCTCATCTTGTCTTTAGGTTTTTTACTCTTACTCTTAGGTCATGTTAGTTTTCCTCCCTGATTAGTTAATTGGTCTCACCTGATTCTCTCTCCACACACCCGCAGCCCATCTGCCTCCCATCATGCCCCAGTGTATATAAGCCCTGTCTTGTCTCAGTGTCTTGTCGGTCCATTGTTTGTTGTTGTCAGCATGGTTTTTGGTGCTCTGTGTGAGCTTTGTGTCTCGTCCCAAGTTTTGTGCGCTAAGCGAGCTTTTGTTCTCCTGATTCAGGGTTTTGGATTTTTGGCTTCCTGCTTTTGGATTTATTTTTGTTCATCCTTCAAAATAAAGGATTTTTCTTTATATCATCTACTGCCTCGTGTCATCCTGGGGTATCTGCATTTTGGGTCTTAACCATCCTCAAAACGTGACAGAATGGACCGACCAACCCAGGACCCAGCAGCAACCCCAGGTAAACGGGATCAGAGCCATGGGATGTATAACTTCGATGGTGACTCGGATGTCTGTAGGGCTTTTTGTTGGAACTTTGTGCGCTCTGTGGACTGGGACCTTTCGGACCTTGACTTGGTTATTCTTCTGGTGTACCGCCTAGAGGGAAGAGCCCTGCAATGGGCCAACTACTACTTCAAGCGATATCTTTTAAAGGAGTTAGACTTTGGGATTTTCGCTAAGGATCTGCAAGACGCCATCTGCCACCCACACACACTCACCTCCCCACCTCCATCTGGCCCAGACTGCACTACCGGCTTTTTTCCGGTGGATCACCATCTGACACCTACCGAGGTTGTATTAAACGCCCTCTCAGCGTCTCTGGGTACTAACCCCCACATCTTCGTCTAGTCCGGACAGTGCCACCTTCCCTTCTCTGATGGGCTGTCGCATCTCATCACCCTCTGTTCCTGCCGATGTCTTCCCTGCACCTTCGATGAGACGCACTCATCGTAGACGTCACCGCCATCACCAGCAGTCTCCTGAAGCCAGAGCTGTACCGCCTGTCCAAGAGGCCCCTGCTCTGCAACCCAGGTCTGAGCTCATGCAGCCGTCCGAGGCCAGAGTTGTGCCGCCTGTCCAGGAGGCCCCTGCTCTGCAGCCTAAGCTTGAGCTCCACCTGCCTTCACCGTATCCAGTTCCAGCAGCAGTCCCGGAGGTCGCACCATATCCAGTTCCGGCGGTGGTCCCGGAGGTCGCACCGTATCCAGTTCCGGCGGTGGTCCCGGAGGTCGCACCGTGTCCAGTTCCGGCGGTGGTCCCGGAGGATGCACTGCATCCTGCTTCGGCGGTGGTCCCGGAGGACGCATCGCATCCTGCTTTGGCGGTGGTCCCGGAGGATGCAAAGCAACTTGCTTCGGCGGTGGTCCCGGAGGACGCACCGCATCCTGCTTTGGCGGTGGTCCCGGTGGACGCACCGCATCCGGTCCAGCCCATCCACGAGGCTTCGCCCAGTCCGACACCCCCAGGCCAGAAGTCAACGCCCCCAGGCCAGAAGTCGACGCCCCCAGGCCAGAAGTTGACGCCCCCCAGGCCAGAAGTTGGCGCCCCCAGTCCAGGGGTCGATGCCTCCCAGTCCAGGGGTCGACGCCTCCCAGTCCAGGGGTCGACGCCTCCCGTCCAGGGGTCGACGCCTCCCGTCCAGGGGTCGACGCCTCCGGCCCTGAAGTCGACATCTCTCCGGCTCTGAAGTGGACGCCTCCGTCTCTGAAGTCGACGTCTCTCCGTCTCCGAAGTCGACGCCTCCGGCTCTGAAGTCGACGTCTCTCCGTCTCCAGAGCTCCTGTCTCCAGAGTCTACGTCCCCACAAGAGTCTGTTCCTGTCTCCAGAGTTCCCAGAGTTCCATGTGTCTCCGTTACTGAAGTCCCTTCCTCGTCGTCCTCCTCTGAATTCCCCTCTTTGTCGTCCTCCTCTGAAGTCCCCATTCCCCAGGCTTCCCAGCTCCTGGTTCCCCGTCGCCGGCCTCCCAGAGTTCCCTGTTCCCGGCTCCTGGTTCCCTGTTGCCAGCCTCCCTGAGTCTCCTGTTCCCTCCTCGCCCGCCCTTTTGGGTTGTTTTTTGTTTGGTCCCTCCCTGTGTTTTTTTGTGCCCTGTTTTGTTTTTGTCTTTTGTCTGTGGTTTTGTCTTGTACTCGTCTTGGGCTTCTGGTATCCGCCCCTCGGGCGGGGGTGGGGGGGGGGGGGGGGGGTACTGTCATGGTCTGTGTCTGTGTCTCTTTGTGTTCCTCATGTGTCCCCTGGTCTTCAACCCTCCAGATATTCCCTCTGAGGTCCTGTGTTCCTTCAATCTCCCCCAGTCACCCCTCTGCAGTTTTTATAGGTTCAGCTTCTCATTTTATTAGTCTCTTTAGTATGTTTTTTCCACAGGTTTTTTTGTAGTTTCCCTTCCCCTTAGAATATTAGTTTATTTTGCTGCTCATCTTGTCTTTAGGTTTTTTACTCTTACTCTTAGGTCATGTTAGTTTTCCTCCCTGATTAGTTAATTGGTCTCACCTGGTTCTCTCTCCACACACCCGCAGCCCATCTGCCTCCCATCATGCCCCAGTGTATATAAGCCCTGTCTTGTCTCAGTGTCTTGTCGGTCCATTGTTTGTTGTTGTCAGCATGGTTTTTGGTGCTCTGCGTGAGCTTTGTGTCTCGTCCCCAGTTTTGTGCTCTAAGCGAGCTTTTGTTCTCGTGATTCAGGGTTTTGGATTTTTGGCTCCCTGCTTTTGGATTTACTTTTGTTCATCCTTCAAAATAAAGGGTTTTTCTTTATATCATCTACTGCCTCGTGCCATACTGGGGTATCTGCATTTTGGGTCCTAACCATCCTCAAAACGTGACAGATATCCTCAATGGACAGCTGGTTGAGGCATATGATCTTCCACTCCTTCCGGAAATCCAGCATATATCCCAGCGGATGTGTCCCCTGTGGACATGTGGGAGCCCCTAGCTCCATTCTCATTGTTGAAAAAATCTTATCAATCACATTGAATGACCAATTCATCAAATCCATGGTTAGTAATAGGGTTTTTCCAGAAGAAATGCAGAGAAGTGCTCTGTGGGCAGACAGGACAAAGAGCCTTGGGAAAAAAAAGATAAGGGAGCGAAAGAGAGAAGCGTCTGTACTCCGCGAGTGCCTTGAAGAAGCCACAGACCAGCACCAAAGACCAACATCATCTTCCAGCAGATGGAGTCACTGTGCATCATTGAACTATTTGGTGCACTTTACGCAAGGATGCTGCATGTGAGAGTGATGCAGAAGAAGCCTTTTCTCCACCCACAGCACAAACAGAGCAGCTTGAGGTAAAGCACATCTGGACAAGCCAGCTTCATTCTGGAATAAGGTGCTATGGACTGATGAAACTAACATTGAGTTATTTGGACATAAAAAGGGGTGTTATGCATGGAGGAAAAAGAACACTGCATTCCACGATAAACACCTGCTACCTACAGTAAAACATGGTGGTGGTTCCATCATGCTGTGGCCAGTGCAGGGACGGGGAATCCTGTTAAAGTTGAAGAACTCATGGATTCCACTCAATATCAGCAGATTCTGGAGACCAATGTCCAGGAATCAGTGACAAAGCTGATGCTGCACCGGGGCTGGATCTTTCAACAAGACAATGACCCTAAACCAGGGGTGTCAAATATGTGGCCCGTGGGCCAGATCCGGCCCGCAAGCGGGTTAAATCCGACCCGCGAGATGGTTGTGTAAACTTTATTTTCATACTTTACACTGTAGAGTGAAAATAAACTTATCATTGTGAGCAAGTTTTCTCTGTAATGAGTATAAATAAAACAAAGCTGCGCTCAAGGCTCACACAAGAACTTGAATCACATCCTGAAGTTGGCTGCCACTCAGGATGTGACTTCTGATATTGATGTGCTGGTGAAAGCTAAAAGTAAAATGAGTCAAATATACTTTAAGTGCTGCATGAAACTGATCTAGCCATGTGATCTGTAAGCTCTTTGAATCACTAAGGAATGTTTTTTTTAGTAGATGATTTTTTTCTTCAAATTTTCAAGTACACTTCAGGTGTTGTACTTGTACTACACTGTCCTCAGGCTCCAGCCTTGTTTTATATTGATTGTATTAAAACAAAGAAAACAATCTGAAGTTTTTTTTTATTTACCGGTCCAGCCCACTTGGGACTAGATTTCCCTCAATGTGGCCCCTGAGCTAAAATGAGTTTGACACCCCTGCCCTAAACACTATTCAACATCTACTAAAGTTTTCATGCAGAAGAACAAGTAGAATGTTCTGGAAAGGCTATTTCAGTCCCCAGACCTGAATATTATTGAAAATCTGTGGTGTGAGTTAGAGTTGTCCATGCTCAGAAGCCATCACACCTGAATGAACTAGAGATGTTTTGTAAAGAATGGTCCAAAATACCTTCAACAGAATCCAGACTCTCATTGGAAGCTATAGGAAGCGTTTAGAGGCTGTTATTTCTGCAAAAGAAGGATCTACTAAATATTGAGTTTTTTTTGTGGTGCCCAAATTAATGCACCTGTCTAATTTTGTTTTGTTTAACCCGCGTTGCAGATTTGCAATCTTAAAACCTACGTACCTGGTTACTCCACATACGTATTTCATGAGCATTTTTTTAAAACTCAGAAGTACCCCCGAAGAACTTAGTTGTTCGTCCTTTTATCAAAACTTATTTTGAGCCTGAGAGGGTTAAACAATTATTGCACACTTTCTATAAATCCTATAAACTTAGTTTCACTTCTCAAACATCACTGTGTGTGCGTCTCCTATACGATAAATACATTTTTATTGTAACAACCAATGGTTTATACAGGAAAATCATAGGCTGCTCAAACTTTTGCATCCAACTGTGTATCTGCTCCAGGTATTACAGGTGCTGGCCAGTAAATTAGAATATCAGCAAAAGGTTGAAAATATTTCAGTAATTCCATTCAAAACGTGAAACTTGTACATTATATTCATGCAATGCACACAGACCAATGTATTTCCAATGTTCATTACATTTAAATTTGATATTCATAAGTGACAACTAATGAAAACTCCAAATTTGGTATCTCAAAAAATTAGAATATTCTGAAAAGGCTGAATATAGAAGACACCTGCTGCCACTCTAATCAGCTGATTTACTCAAAACACCTGCAAAGGCCTTTAAAAGGTCCCTCAGTCTTGTTTTGAAGGCACCACAATCATGGGGAAGACTTCTGACTTAACAGCTGTCCAAAAGACAATCATTGACACCTTGCACAAGGAGGGCAAGACACAAAAGGTGATTGCTAAAGAAGCTGGCTGTTCGCAGAGCTCTGTGTCCAAGCACATTAACAGACAGGCGAAGGGACGGAAAAAATGTGGTAGAAAAAAGTGTACAAGCTCTAGGGATAACCGCACCCTGCAGAGAATTGTGACGACAAACCCATTCAAAAATGTGGGGGAGATCCACAAAGAGTGGACTGCAGCTGGAGTCAGCGCTTCAAGAACCACCACGAGGAGACTCATGAAAGACATGGGATTCAGGTGTCGCATTCCGTGTGTCAAGCCACTCTTGAACAAGAAACAGCGCAAGAAGCGTCTCGCCTGGGCCAAGGACAAAAAGGACTGGACTGATGCTGAGTGGTCCAAAGTTATGTTTTCTGATGAAAGCAAGTTCTGCATTTCCTTTGGAAATCAAGGACCCAGAGTCTGGAGGAAGAGCGGAGAAGCACAGAATCCACGTTGCATGAGGTCCAGTGTAAAGTTTCCACCGTCAGTGATGGTGTGGGGTGCCATGTCATCTGCCGGTGTTGGCCCACTCTGTTTCCTGAGGTCCAGGGTCAATGCAGCCGTCTACCAGGAAGTTTTAGAGCACTTCATGCTTCCTGCTGCTGACCAACTTTATGGGGATGCAGACTTCACCTTTCAACAGGACTTGGCACCTGCACACAGTGCCAAAACCACCAGCACCTGGTTCAAGGACCATGGTATCCCTGTCCTTGATTGGCCAGCAAACTCGCCTGACCTTAACCCCATAGAAAATCTATGGGGTATTGTGAAGCGGAGGATGCAATACGCTAGACCCAACAATGCAGAGGAGCTGAAGACGACTATCAGAGCAACCTGGGCTCTCATAACACCTGAGCAGTGCCACAGACTGATCGAGTCCATGCCACGCCGCATTACTGCAGTTATTGAGGCAAAAGGAGCCCCGACTAAGTATTGAGTGCTATACATGCACATTCTTTTCATGTTCATTCTTTTCAGTTGGCCAACATTAGAGAAACAAACATTTTTTCATTGGCCTTTAGAATATTCTAATTTTCTGAGATACCAGATTTGATGTTTTCATTGGTTGTCACCTATAAATATCAAAATTAAACGTAATAAACATCGGAAATACATTGGTCTGTGTGCATTGCATGAATATAATGTACAAGTTTCACGTTTTGAATGGAATTACTGAAATATTTTCAACCTTTTGATGATATTCTAATTTACTGGCCAGCACCTGTATACAGCTTCAGCATCCTTTTCATGTGTTATTCTGGTCTCTGAGCACTTCTGTGCTTTTATTCAGGACTTCTTCAGTAAATCGGATCCGTTCCTGGAGATCTACAGAGTAAACGATGATGCTACGATGCAACTGGTCTACAGAACCGAGGTACTGATCCTGGAGGGTTACATCAGGATGTCTCCTTAAGAATAATGCTTCAGAACTTTATTTAAAATGGTTTAAAATCACACAAACCTGTATAGGAAAGCTGTAAACACTTTTTTCAGCTTTAATTATTTTATTTTGACTTTCAAAAGATTTTCAGCTTGGCAGAATCAAATCTATCAGAACATGGTTCTGTGTCTGAAACGAGTTGATGTGAACTCAGCTGGTTCCCCTCCACTGTGAGAAACTTTTACCTAAAGAACAAACAAAATTAACTAAAGGAAAAACTTTATTCACGTGTTAAATTAAGGAGGAACCAGGAAGGCTGACGGGTTCTATCTGTCTCCTTCAGACCGTCATGAATAACCTCAATCCAGTCTGGAAAACCTTCAAAGTTTCACTCAACTCGCTCTGCAGCGGAGACCATGAGCGCAAGCTGCAGGTACACACACACACACACACACACACACACACACACACACACACACACACACACACACACACACACACACACACACACACACACACACACACACACACACACACACACACGTATGCACACGCACACACACACTCTCACGCACGCACACACACACGCACACACACACACACACACACACACACACACACACACACACACACACACACACACACACACACACACACACACACACACACACACACACACACACACACACACACACACACACACACACACACACACACACACACACAGTCTCTGGTATCAGTCGATTATGTTGAGGCTCCAGTCTAAATCTGGCAGTCTGATTGGCTGCTTCAGGTCAAACTTGCTTCACCTCCTTCCCTTTGTTCGCAAGTCACACAGACACACACACACCCGCATCTATGCACAACCTGACAGGTGAACACACACATTCTCAATCATCCCAGGGTTGGGGGTTTGAGTCCCTGACTCCTTGGTGACTTCCTGGGAATCCATGAGCAACAGAAATGAATATTCAGGGATGGAAGCTGGGATTCAGAGGCAGATTTAGCAATTTGGGGGCCCAAGGCGAACACAGACATGGGGCCCCTTACACAAAATTTTTGACAATCTTACCTTTAACTGGATTTGCGAAACTCTCCCCTCTTCTGACATGAGTTATTTTCCCTTTTTATTGGTCCTCCTCTTTTTTTCCTGTATTTCTCTACCTTTGAGTGCCTTCTTCTTCCTGTCAGTGCTCCTGTGCTTTAGCCGTAGTTATTATTATTTTTTATTTTCCATTTTGGTCTGTTTTCCTCCCTTTAAACATTTTCCATTGTCTTTCCTTTCTGCTTCCTTTTGATGTTTACATCGAAAAACAACGTCACTTTCAGAAGTGAAAATAAAAGCTTTCATGAAGCATGCAGCTTCTTTCTCTTATTGGAGCCACTAGGATAACAGCCTCATGCTTAATGTTTTGACTATCGCTTTGAGTTTGTTACGAACGCTCCTGCCTCTCTTCTTCTTATTTGTGGTCTTATGGCACTTGGCAAACAACAATTTGGTGCATTACCGCCACCAACTGGATTGGAGTGGAAAGACCAATCACTTCCTGTTTGTGCATCGCCGTCTTAATAACCCTCTTATAACCATAATTATAACAGGGCCGCCTGGTATTTTTTTAATCTTATGGCTGTAAAATTGTAATAAAAAGTGCAAAGTTTGTGTAACTCTCTCCTTTTTTTAAGAACAACCTCAGCTTTCAGTGTATGGTTTGTATTTAGAATTTATTTCTATTAAAGCCTTTAAAATCAGCTTAAAAGTGAAAAAAGCAAAAAACGGATTTGAATTTTTTACATTTATTACTGAACAGGAACTTCAAAATTACTGGGCAAACAATTTGGAATGAACAATTTAAACTTTGAACCGTAATGCATCTATTCTTAAAAAAGTTTGAATCTTGGTATCTTTTTTAGCAATTTTAAGACCATTTATTTTTGTAAACTTTCAGACGTTTTTATTTGATGTGGTAGACCTTGAAGCAGTTTCTCTCCAGCTGCAGGCAGAGTGCTGCACACCTCACACTGCCATGGGGTGCTTCTCTTGCACACCGTGCACTGCTATACCAAAAACTTTTGTTTTAGCAAAAGTAATCATTTATTGTAAAAAGATAAATAATGCTGGGATGAAGCTGAATCTTACAATTAGCAAATAGTTGAGGGTTGTTCAAATAAAAAACTAAAAAATAAAGACTGAACAAACATTCATTCCCCAGTTGAACCAACAACCCTTCCTAAAATCAGCAACTTCTCAGATAGAAACTCCAGAATCACTCTTATTTAGAGTTTTATTTTTTATTTGCAGCTGCACACTAACTCACATGAGTAAGTATCAGTTACAGTTTTTCCTTGTGTTTTAATTTATTTGAAAAAACAAAATCAGATTTTTAAAATAACATTAAATAAAATGTTTTTTGTTTAATTTTTTTCTGACAGGAGATACAATCTGTGATGAATTTTATATTTACAGAAACCAAATGACTTATTTTGGGGTTCCACTTTTGTTTCACCCCACAAGATGGTTTGTTTACTAGTGTTTATGTAATGAAATAGAATTACATTTTATTTAATGAGCCATAAGGTGTGGGATTCCATAGGAAATATGAAATCCACCTTACGGATCTGTGAGTTATTTAAACCAGAAGATTGGATCTTTTTATTGCAGGGATTAGATAACCGCTTCATGTTCACTCAGAGACAACAGAAGAGAGAGAGTCAAGTTTAAAAGTTAAGAATTTTATTACTAACAAATTAAACTAGACTGACTTCAAAACTAAAGGTATGGTGTAACTAAAGTGGATGAGATGGTGGATGGATGACGTGTGATGTTAATCAGAACCAGCAAATCCGAAGAAGCAATTATTCTGATGGGAACTGAAGGTGTTGTTTTCGCATTAAGCTTTGGTTAGGAAGTTCAGAAACACATGAGGCACTATCATGTCGGTCTACCTACCCTTCGTGGAAGTCCCCTTTAGATCCGGAATGTCGAGGTCTTAGTTTGACCCTCTCTGGAACCGAGCCGGTAGGAAAAGCAACGGTTCCGACCAGTCCAGTCTTGAGTTACTTCCGGGTACATGACAAGTTGTTGGCGTCTGGTGAGACCCAAGCCTGGGTCTGGATAGTTCAGCTTCTATTCTGAAAGGAACTGTTGCTGCTGTTGGAATAGCGACAAATTTTTCAGCTTGTCGTTGGTTCTTTTTGGTTGAAGAGTTTAGATCAGGATTGGCCACTTTCTCTGGAACACTTTGAACTGGCGTTAGAGCTGACGTGGCATAGTTTTATACCTCGGATGTTATGGTTTATTGTCGAATGAAAAATTACCAAACACCATCAAAACCACGCCTCCGTCAGATCTGTAAGATTCTGATTGGATCAGTGAAAGGAATGTGTTATGTCTTTTAACGCTACGTGAAATGAGTCCTGTTGGAACACTTAAAGTCACATTACTTATTATATTCTATAGGATCATAATAAAGTAATTAATATTTTGATTTCACAGATCGGTCACATCTTATTTATTGACTAACACTTTGATGGATCAGCTTTATTAAAATAGAGTTCTTTGATTAATTAAAAGAAAAGAGTTCATTCTTCATTCTTCTGTTGAGCTGAAAATAAGCAGGTTAGAAGGAATGCATGAGACCTTGGTTCTTGTCGGTGACATGAATCCAAACACGATGAGCGTTTCAAGGATCTTTTAGGAAGCATGATGGTTCTCCTCATGCTGCTGAGGGAACTTTAATGATCCTCAGTTCTTAACACGATGAAGTTCTGAATCAGATGTTCCTTCTGACGAGGATCACCTGCAACCTAGTCCCGTCCTGGATCGTCCAGGTGAAATGGCTCCTGGTAATAAAATCCGAGGGACCCTCTGAGCCAGAAAATCCTCCTGATTTCAGACGGAGCTGCTAATCTGACAGGATGAAGCTGTGAGTGTGACGGCTCATTAGAGATCTCAGGGTGTCCCCTCTCAGAAGGACCAGCGGGACTCCTCGTCTTCTTCTAATCCTGAAGGGTGGGGTTGTACTGCCATCTTCATCACTGCTGCCGCTCGCTTTAATGAGCAGGAAGGAGGGACACACACACACACACACACACACACACACACACACACACACACACACACACACACACACACACACACACACACACACACACACACACACACACACACACACAGCCTCTGACAGTGTTGTTTTCGTCCTCAGTGACTACATGACTTCATCGACACCCTTTTTCTCATAATGAAAATGAGGTGCTACTGACCTAAAAATAGCTCTCTGGTGACTGAAACATGACGAGACGTGTGTGAGTTTTCATTGATGAGACGAGCCAAAAATTATGCTTAAAATAAAAATCTCTGTTTGTCTTGCAAAAGCTAAAAAGTAACATCTGGATGCCTCAGGTCTGCAGGACCCACCTGCATGCAGCGTCTCACTTAACTAAAAGTCAGTTTCTGCTCTGGACTATGAGACAGTTATAGGTCATATGACCACAGCAGAACCAGGAGCCTAGACCTCCTCTCAGCCTTTCAGGTGTACCTGGTCTCATGAAGGGGGCAACGGTAGCGGTGTTAGGAGTTCACCCTGTAACTGGTGGGTTGCTGGTTCGAACCCAGTCTCTGTCCATGTTGGTTGTCTCCTTGGGTATGACACCTTCCTCGGCTGCTGGTGGTGGTTGGAGGAACTGGTGGCTTCTGAAAGCGTGTCCCAGGGCAGCTGTGGCTACAGTTACGTTAAAATTGCACAGGAACACATTTTTGTTAGTATCTTACCTGTCGTGATGCCCCCCCATCAGTCACCAGAACCTAGATGGCACCAGTAAAACCCGATAGAACTGACCTGGATCCGGGCCTCGCTGTGAGGCCAACTAAAAGGACTGAAGGAGCAACCAGCATCAGGTACTGGTCCGTATGGATATGACCATGAAGCTTCCAGCCGGAATCAGAACTCTGCTTGTGTGTTTTCTTGCTTACCCCCCCCCCCCCCCCCCCTGAATTTTTCACAACTCCTGACAAACTGTCCTGGGTTCAGCCATCCTTCTCATTTATTCACTTCCAGTCTGTCCCACTGGGCCCTGTGCTGCCAGTCGGTTCTGCTCTCTGGTTCTGGTGGGGCAACAGAACACGTGGTCGTATGTTTTAACAGGAATCAGACTATCTCCATGTTTACTTCACGTCACCCTGCAGCTCAGAGTTCCGACTGATTCTTCTGATTCTGCTCAGACTTTTGTGTCTTTGCTTCAGACTCAAACACAAAAGGGACCAACAGAATCCTGGTCTGGTCCAAAACCTAGTCTAGTCTGAGGATCTAGGTCCAGGATTACAAGTCTGTTCCTGCAGAGCAGAACATGAGCCTGGTAGAGGTTCAGAGTTTAAAAGACCAGGGAGAAGGTCAAATCCAAAACCATCTTCGTGGGTTCTACAGCAGTCACATTCTGATGCTAACCTGGTTCTGAAGTAGTCTATAGACCAGAACAGCAGTGATCTAGATCTTTGTTAGAAGAACCAGACCCAGTTTGATCAAGAACCAAAAAGGATGAGGATTATCTAGAGAAGTGGCAACACCAGGTCTAAAACCTGGTCATAGTGTTCTGAGGTTCTGATCTCTGAGTTCTACTTCCTGTCCCCAGTGCACCGTGTGGGACTGGGACTCCAACGGGAAGCACGACTACATCGGAGAGTTTGAGGCTTCATTCAAAGAGATGAGAGGAGCCATTGATGGTCGACAGGTGAGTCTCCGACAGAACCACAAGACTGGGACTCCAGGTCCTGCTGACTCAGATCAGAGCTTGTCCAGTACAATGGGTTCCAAACTTTCTAACTTTAGACCCATAGAATAGCAAGGCATGCAACTGCCGAAATCTGGTTTAACAACAAAAAATTCTTTAAAAGCTCAATAATTCACTTTTTTGACAATTTCGTTAAGTTTTAATGCTAGAAATACAGCTTCAGCAATTGTTTTTCAGTTTGATTTTGATTTCTGGAAATGATCTCAAGACCACCTGTGTAGCTCTTGGTGACCCAAAGGAGGGCCCTGACCCCAACTTTATGAACAACTGCTCTAGTAGGCTGAAGCAGATTTCCTCCTTTTACCTCTGCTAGTGACTAAAAACCAAATAAATGAATAAAACATGTTTACAGTATTTTAGTCATACTTGACTCCTCTGGATTGTGTTCAATGTGTTTCTGTAACATCATTGTTCTGTGAGTCGGGTCCATTTCAGGTACATCGGGTTCTTGGTTTTGGGTCAAAATGAAAATGTTTTTACTTCATGATGAAAACAATGAGAAAAAAACCCTGTAATGAGTATTTGATGGAATCTGTTCAGCTGTTTGACTCGACTTAACCTTCACCTGAACCCGACAGTTTACCAAGCCAATCACCCTCAGCTGCTGCAGGTTTCCATCAAAGGTCCAATTAACCGCTGACCTACTTTGAATTCTTTCCTCTGAGGCAAATTGAAAGAGTTTATTTAGACAGACGTGTGACGGGAGTACCAGGGCTAATAAAGACAAATCTGTCAAGAAATAAACGAATAAAAGAGGATATGAGACGCTGCTAATTAAAACAGTCCCTGAACGTCAGGTAGAGCCGTTCTGCCTCCGGATGCTTTCATGTTCCCGAGGGGATAAAAACCGGAGAATTCCTGAAGAGGCTTATTAACGTATCCTGTGGAGGATAGATTCCAAATTCAGTCTGATTTCCGTGTTTATGGAGAGCTCAGAGTGTCCAGATCAAGTAGATCATCACAACTTGATAGTTTCTGTAGAGCTGAGCAGAAAAACATCACTGAAGGGATTTCTTCCATCAAGAACCCCCCATCTTCTGGACGTTTATTTATCAGGCTCCTTCCAGATACAAGAGACACAGAAACCAGGAATTTGTCTGAGCTGAAGACTCCAGAAAGTGTGCTGCTCCTGAGTCTGTTTTTTCTGACACAAATTCCTCACAGACTCCTGTGATCGAGTCCTCAGAGACCTTTCTCAGACAGCCAGGATTCCCCCCAGGGTGTGTGTGTGTGTGTGTGTGACACATCTTTTTACACTGACACAATTCAGTTTTCACAATTTGGCATTTTAGCTTATAAATTGGAGCATAAAGCCAAGATACTAACAGGCATAAAAATATGAAGCACACAAATGAGGTCAGAGGTCGTAGGGAAATTTTTTATTGGATCAACTCAGAAACTTAATTACTAGCAAACATCTGAAAACAAGATTTAAGTTGTTTAGTCAACATCCAAGGAGAATAAAATGTGACTGTAGAAACTAGCATGCCACCCACAAACCAACTCATTTTTGAATAATAAACTATAAAATAAGTGTCTAACAGTGCTGTAGACATAAGTGACATTTTAGTGCCTCTTATTTCAAATATAAATATTCTGCCTAAAACGTTCGATGAGGCACCCCATTCAGGTTAAAAGTCTGCACTACAATTGAATTTAAATCAACCATTGGCTAAGCTGTGATTTTTGATGTTAGCGAGTATTTCTGACTGTGTGTGTGAGAGCGAGAGAGTGAGAGCGAGAGAGAGAGCGAGAGCGAGAGAGCGAGAGAGAGAGATATGCCCTCTCGGTCCACCAGCCAATCCTTTCTCTGGTGCATTTTTCAAACAGGAAGTGTGGTAGGAGAAAGATTCTGGTAGAGGGCCGACTTGCTCTTTATTGAACTAATCTACGGTCTGAGGCAATCCCACACCTGTTCTGGTAAACATTATCCCAAATAATCCAAAACAAACAAGCAGAATGCAGAAATGTTCTGCTTCAGATGTGAGCAAGAAGCAGAGATCTAACTGAGATCCATCAGATGTAAGATTGGACTTTTGGCCACTGATATAACCTGAAACTGTCACGATCAGAACTTCAGAAGACCAGTGAAGACGCCAAACACAGTAAAAGTATATACAAAGTCTTTTATTTTCTGAGGAGTTACCAGAGGTGGGTGAGGCTGGAGACAGAGTCGGAGACAGGCGAAGGTCGTGGTGGCAGGCAGAGTTCAAGACAGGGGTCAGGAGCAAAAACAAGGTCCAGAGGCTGAGATCAGGCAGGGAGAATGGCTGGAAGATTTACTTGCGTGGGCTTTCAATAATCTGGCAGGGAACTGGTGTCTGACTGGTGAATATATAGCAGGGGGAGCAGGTGTGAGTGATGAGCTGAGGAGTCAGGAGCAGGTGAAGCGGATGAAGCTGATTACAGGAACAGGTGAGATGAATGGAGTAGATAGTGGTAGCCAGGGGAAACAAGGCTTGTCAGGAGCTTGGTGAGGGGATAGGTGAGCTGAATGAAGGCTGAAAGATGGGAGTCATGACAGAAACTGACCAAAGTAAAGGTAGTCACAGGTCTGTTTGGCAGGGGCGGACTGACCATAGGTGTGTTTCTGGAAAATAACAGAATGGCCGGCCTGCTAATTGTTCCAGTTTGTCCCTGACAATTGATATCAGGTTGTGGTACACACTCTGAACGTGGACCACAGAAGACTGAGGAAACAGTTGTCTCAAAAGGCCGGAGATTAGAAAGACTTAATGACCAGCTTGTTGAAGGAAAGGCTAGAAGATGATGCAGAAGCAGCGTAAGGCTAGAATACCATGCCCAAGCAACTTAAGGCTAGAAGATGATGCCCAAGCAGCTTAAGTCTAGAAGACCATGCCGAAGCAACTTGAGGCTAGAAGACCATGGCCAGCAGCTTAAGGTTAGAAGACCATGCCCAGCAGCTTAAGGCTAGAAGACCTCATTCAAGCAACTAAAGGCTAGAAGACCATCTCCATGCTGCAAAAGGCAAGAAGACCCTGTCCAAGCAGCTAAATACTAGAACAATGTTTCCCAACCCTTGTCCCTCACTGACCACTGTCCTGCATGTTTTACATGTTGTCCTTTCAAACAACAGTGTGTCTCTGCTGCCACACACCTGACTTAAATGAATGAGTGATTAAGAGGCATCTACAGCACTTGATGTCTTCCTGAGGAGTAAATGTAAATCAGGTGTGCTGAAGCAGAGACATGGAAAGCATGTAGGACAGTAGTCCCTGAGGACCAGGGTTGGGAAACACTGGACTAGAAGACCATGTCCAAGCAGCATAAGATTGAAGTTATTCTGTTGATCAAAAAATGACAGGTTTATCTTATGAACATTATGGGTTGTCCTATCTTTTATGGATCTGTTGTGATAAACATTCCTGCATCTGTCTGTTGATGACATTAACCTGTTGCTGTTTGTGCTGCAGGTGCAGTGGCTGTGCATTAATCCAAAATATAGAACCAAGAAGAAGAACTACAGGAACTCTGGAATTGTGATCCTGAATCAGTGCAAGGTGACTTCCTGTTTAATTCCTATGTTTCCTCCCAGTGGTTGATTTTGACTGGATGTTAGAAGAACAAGTGATTAATCTGCAAGTGGTCGGAATAAGCTGACACGTCCTACCAGATCTGGTGATGATGAGGAGTCCTGGGAATCCCGGTGCTGAATAAAAACCTGAAAACATTTAGTATGATGACACTCCACTTTCCACTTCTAAACACTCTCATATATTTGAGAAGATGAACATGCAGCGAGAAGGGGAAACCAATTACCAAGAAGCTGAGAGGTGATTTACACTTCAGAAGCCAGACAGAAAATGAAACAAGTAGTTCTGGTTCTGGAAGTAGGTTGGTGCTGGACAAGAGATAAGAGCTCCACCTCTGGTCAGATCGGCTGACATCTTAAACAGATTAACCATGCCTCTGAACCAGGACCAGTGGACCACCGGACCCAAATTAAACCCAAACAGACCGGGAAGTTGAGAAATGTTTACATTCAGTCACAAAAATATCAGACTTGACAGTTGATTTTATTTCAGAAGCAGATTATTTGAAGCTTGTTCATGTAAACAGGAAGCCTCAGAAGTTCCTTCATGTTCCTTCCGAAATCTGGACCTGGATCTGCAGTCTAGATCAGTGGTTCCCAACCGCTTTAAAGGGGCATCATGGATGTTTGACAGCCAAAACATGTATAGAAATAATAAATGTCTTCTTCATACATTCTCCTGCAATGCCCTAGTTCTGTAGAATGAGCCCAGGCATTTTTACTGTGATTGCCTGTTTTTCTGTAAAATCACAGAAAAAGAGAGTTGAGCTGAGCTGCTCGGGTCGAGCAGGCTGCTTCGTGCACGTTCACGCTCAGGCATAGCCCGAAGCATTTGCTATCCGTAGCTTTAGCAGCAGAGAGAGAGGCAGTGCCAATTCAGCGACTTTGTCGCTGTTCCTAACGCCCAGTGATGAACCTAGCTACAATTCTGAGGACCCTTAGCTACTTTCTTCTAGATATTTCCTGCAAATTAGCAACAAAATAGCCATTTCGCTCCGAACCGTTCTTTGAAAATTGTTTCAGCTGTCATTAAGGATATAAATATTACAGATACAAAAGACATCACTGGTGCTTTAGCTCACCCAATAAGACGTGGGACTCCCGTGCAGAAGACCCAGGTTTGATTCTAGATGTGAACATAGTTTATTTAGAGTTTCCGTTTTACATTAATGTTATTTTTTTTTACAGTAAGAGGCCCAATTTTTTATTTGAGACTCGCCGAACGGCATTGGATTCACGGATAAAAAAGATGGGTTCAACTTTCATTTTGGAACAATTTTTCAAGCAAGGGAAGGGAATGATCTGAGCATGCAGGAGGACTGACCCATCTTAAACCTTTGTCAGCTGTGCTGAAGAGAAAAGGTACAGAACCAAATTATTTAATTAATTAGCTGCGCGTTCTCCTGTCCTCTGTCCTCCGGGCCACACACACACACACACACACACACACACACACACACACACACACACACACACACACACACACACACACACACACACACACATGGAGTGTGCACGTACAGCATGTGCGCCTCGTGCACGAGCCTACTATTGAAGCTGCCGTTACACTTTTGGCCTGAGGGGGCAATCGCGAGCATAAAAATTCAAAACTCCGTAAAGTCCCTCTAAATGAACAACCCCCTTGCCTGTGTCCAAGACATCCACCCCAACCTCAGCTTCTACCCACACACATTAAAACACATCCATACATTTACAGAGTTATAGCTCTTATATAGGTTTTTTTTACACTGTTGGTGTGTTACTGGGATTATATAAAGGTAACTTTTACAAATATAATCTTAGTAACCTCACAACCTCAGCACAGACTAAATTCTGGGTCCCCCTGCAGCCCTTAGTGACCCTCTTGGGGGGTCATGGACCCCAGGTTAGGAACCATTGTTTCAGATTATGTAAACCCCAGATTTTCCTTTAAAAGGTGGATTAGATCCTGATAATCTGAATTCTGAGCAGGTTAGTAACATTCTTCTGTTTCTTTAGGAATTGTGGTCAGATCAGAGCATCCTGAAGATTCTTCAGTTGTAGAGAGGAATTTCAGAGGTAGGCAACCCTGGTCGTCAAGAGCCACAGTCCTGCGTGTTTTCCAGCCATGCATAAACTTGCAGCTTCTAATTGGCTGAACACACTGTGACCCAGGAAATCAACAGCAGAAACAACAAAGACAGTTGGAAAACGAGCAGAACTATGGCTCTCTAGGACCAGGGTTGCCTACCGCTTCTAGTTGAAATGAAAAACCATAGTTTTTCTCTAATGGTGGTTTTGTCAGAAGTGTGTTCATCTGATTGGCTGCAGCTCATCAGCTGAAGAAGCATCACAGGAATTCCAGAACATCGATGAAGCTTCTAAACACTGAAGTCACGAAGGTTTGCTTCTGTCTGTAGATCATCAAGATGCATTCATTCCTGGATTACATCATGGGAGGCTGTCAGATCCAGTTTACTGTAAGAACACACACGGGCACACATGCACGCACACCCGCAACTGTAGCTACTGGATGTTTTTGATGCTTTTCACGACACGTTGATGTATTTTTTTTTTTAAATAAACGATAAACGAGATTATTTATACTTTCAGTTAAAACTGCAGATTCCAAGAGGAATCTAAATGTCCCCTTTATGAGACGATGTCAGTTCATGTTTAGGATCTGATTAGTTTCTGGTCCAGCTGTGGTAAGAAGTTCTAAAGCTTCTAAAGAACCACATCAGAGGTTATTAAAATGATTTAAATGAACTCTGGATTATCCAGAATTCATTTAAATCATTCCAGACTGGATGAGATTCAGAGGAACCACTTTTGATTATTCTGCTCTTGGTCTGAACTGAACCTTGGTTCCTGATGGTTCTTGTTAGATCAGAATCCACCAGCTAGGCAGCCATGGAGTTTCTCTGTTGTCCATCAGAACCTGGATTCTTTGGTCCACAGAAGCAGCTGACCCAGAATCAGGTTCTAACTGGTTCTAATGCAGAGTTCCAGGTTTGGGTTAGGAGCTGGATCGGCTTGGTTGAAGGGAAGTTTGTTGTGTTCTGGGTTTTAATGATGTCCTGTGATCAGGGGAATCCCTAAGCACCCCCCAGTGGTGTCTTCAGGTGACGGTAGAACAGTCATTAACGACAGCGCTGTGAGTGTGAGGAGTGACGTGTGTCTGATGTGAACACGTGTAAACATGAAGCTACATTCTGGTGCATCTCTGAGTGGTGCTGCTGTGATTTTGAACAGATTCAGAGAGATGTAAGAATCTTTCAGAACATTTGAGGAGACGAGCGATGAGACGGGATAGAGACAGCAGAGTTGAATCGGCGTATCTGAGGAACCTGCAGGTTCAGCGTCAATTTATTTAAATGAAATCATTTCTGAACAGAAAACACAACTCTGTAGGCATTTTAATCTAAACACCTGTGGGTTATAATCTAATCTAATCTAGTCTAATCTAATCTAATCTAATCTAATCCAATGATTATAAATGGAGCAACATTTAGAGAAAAATGGAGCTGATTCCCTCTCTTCATCCCTGGAGGTGATCCCAGTACTGAGAGGAGGCCCTTCAATCAGCGGACATCCCAAAACCTAAAAGTAGACTGTTTCAGGAATTGCTGAGGATTGGAACCTTTGGCTGAATCGCCTGGATCCCAGAAGATTAGTAACCATACCAACCGCTCTTGGGACAGCCAAAGATTTATTATGGACTGGGACTGTTAAATTACAAGCAGAGCCTCAAACGGCTGCGACCATAGCTGGGCACCGTGGCCTTTTACATCAGCTCATGCTCCACGGTCGGAGGTCAGCGGGACATTAGCTACATGCTAACCCAAAACCAACAGAGCTTTTTCGGGCGTTTTTAGCAAGTAAAAGCGGTAGAGTGACTCCATAGTGAAGTCACCTCCGGCCTGCTTAGGAATGAGATCATAATTAGGTAAGCTGACCAAGGATATCAAACTTTGCTGGACCACCGAGGTCAAAGATCCGCGAGTCCGCCGTTGTCGACAGTCACAGCTCTGGGAATGTTGACATGGCTCCCTGCTCCATGTCATGCTCCCAGCTGGAGGCGGGAGTGTCTATTCAACTACCGGCGCTGTGTCGACATGGAGCTAGGAGCCATGTTGATACTCCCAAAGCCAGGACGGTCGACAACGGCGGACTTGCGGATCTTTGATCGCGGTGGAACAGTGAAATCCACACCCCTCCGAGTTGTCATGATTGTACTGTTGAACCTAAAATGTTTTTCAGAACCAGGCTGTAAACATGTTTATTTCTGCTGCGAAAGTGGAATTTTTAACATCGAAGTCAATGAGGATTTGCTCTATTCTGGTGCCAGCCACTAGCTGATGAGGGTGGAACTGCAATTTTAGCCTCTTCCGTGTTAGCTTCATGAAAGTCCCAGGATTGCGGGTGGCCTTGAGGAGGGGCGCACGGCTCGTTTTGCTACAGTGCGTCGTCCATGACTGCAGGGGTGGGGGATGGATGCTTGATCTAGCGGCCCGCCACGCTTACGAAGTGCTGGGGGAACCCCCGTCCTGTGTTTTCTTACTGTTTTAGTTCAGTTTTTAGCATTCACTCCATACGTAATTTAAAATCAAATATTGTCATGAAATCACCGATTTTAATACCTTTATTCAGTTTTACGACATTCTAATGTGGGTCACATAAATGTGTATTTATGTCTAAAACAGGTACCTAAAAAAATCTGAGGCTGATTGAACTATAATTGTGTGGTAAAACTCCTGCTGCTGTCTAATTATAACATCTTTACAGGTTATGATTTTTGAGCTAAAAGAGTTAGATTTTTATTAGAAACACAAATGTATTCAGTCAACATTTACTCAGTGCTGTTATAGGTTTTTGCACTACTTCTGGTCTGGTTTTTGTTTTCTTCTTTAACCTCAAAATTCTTTTTCTTTACATTTTCACTTCTTCCTTTTTCCCTTAAGTTTTTTATGGGAATGATCCACATCCTCAGCTCCGCTGCTAAACCCAAAACACTTCCCTACAAACAAGACTCAATTTATTCCACTCATCAGATTTTATCATATTTTTTTATTTAACTGTTATTTAACCAGGAAATATTCCTGAGATTAAAAATCTCATTTACACAACACACACAGAGAACCGTTCACACATGACAAGAAAACTAAAAGGACATTAAGCAGCAAATCTAACTACAGATGAATCAGTCACAGCAGAGTCAGTACCAGAATTTATGAGCCAATGCTTTTGCATCCAGATGTTTGGATTTCTAGATGCAATTGCTGTTTGACCCAGAAGCGTTGGTACAAACAATAACTTCCTTCCTCCTTTCTTTATTCCTTCATTTGTTCAGCGAAATAAAACAGAAGGTTAATCACTGGTTGTTTTTTCTCTGCAGGTCGCCATCGACTTCACGGCGTCTAACGGTGACCCGCGGAACAGCTGCTCTCTTCACTACATCCACCCGTACCAACCTAACGAGTACCTGAAAGCGCTAGTGGCCGTGGGTGAGATCTGCCAGGACTACGACAGGTGGGTTTACACAGCAGCCAATCACATGTCCTTGTTCAGGAGTTCTACCCCCAGGCCTCCCACCTGAGGGTCTCTGAGGCTCTAAAACTCCAAATGTCTTTGAAGAAAAATATGTGAAACAAAATAATAAAATGAACGATTCATCAGGACCAGAACCTGGGCTAGAAGCTCAAATCACCATTGTGTCACATGATTCTGCCTAACTCGACACGATAAGATACTAGACCATGACTCAGTTCCATAATCCCAGTCCCCAACAGGGTTTGTCCCTCATGCTTTATAGGAAATAAATCCTATTTTTTTATTCTGAACTAATGATCAGAAAATAAGTGTTTTATGTTTTTACTCAACAGGAAGTGATGACTTTAACCCTCTCAGGCTCAAAATAACTCCAGAGGGTTAATATTTCAGCACAAACCCGCCTCCTTTTCCTGCTTCTAACTGGAATTTTTTACATCTCCCCTCCAGTGACAAAATGTTCCCAGCGTTCGGATTCGGAGCTCGGATTCCTCCGGACTACAAGGTAATAACCTACTTAAACCTACTCTGCATGATGCATCGACATCTTACCTTGATCTTTGTTTAAAAGTGCTTTTCAGTCCATCGGTCTTAGCATGCTCTCCATAATTAATACTTCTCTGGTTTCTGCTCAGGCCCTTGCTTACTTTAGGAATTCTGTAATCCACCAGCCTCTAAAAAAATTAGTCTTGACGCCTCTCTCCATAGCAGCTTCAGACCCATCTCTAAACTTCCGTTCATCTCCAAGATCTTAGAAAAGGTTGTGGCTAAACAACTCACAGCTGCTCTTGATGAACATAACATCTATGATAGTTTCCAGTCAGGTTTTCGTGGAGCTCATTCTACTGAAACAGCTCTTCTTAGGGTCTATAATGACCTTCTGACTCACAGTGATGCAGGGGACTATTCTGTTCTGGTCCTGCTGGACCTGACTGCAGCCTTTGGCCATCACCTGCTACTGGAGAGGCTGAGAGACGGGGTAGGCCTATCAGGATCTGCTCTGGAGTGGTTCTCCTCTTATCTCTCGGTCCTCCACCACCTCCCTTATCCATGGTATCCCTCAAGGTTCTGTGCTGGGGCCTGTACTCTTCCTCCATCTGCTTCCTCTTCAGCACATCTTGAGCTCCTTCAATGGAATCTCATACCATCTTTACGCAGATGACATCTCCTTTAAGCCCCAAGAGATGTCTAAGCTGCAGCTGTTACACACCTGCTTAGACTCTATTAAAACCTGGATGGCTGGGAGCTTTCTACAGCTGAATGAAGATAAGACTGAGATCCTCATCTGTGCCCTAGACAAGCTGGTTCCCAAAGTTAGAGACTTTCTTGGTCAGCTTTCTTCTCAGACCAACCACTCTGTCAGGTCACCCCCAGCAGGTCCCTGAGGTCCAGTGATCAAAGCCTTCTGGTTGTGCAGTGCACCAGGCTAAAGACCAAAGGTGACAGATCATTTGCTGCTGTGGCCACCAGACTCTATAACTCTCTCCCCCTGAGCCTGAGATCAGTGGACTCAGTGGTCTCCTTCAAAAAGCAGCTGAAAACTCACCTGTTCAAGCTGGCTTTTGCGTGCCCTTCGTCACCACCCTCTCCTTATTCTGTTCTTGTTCCACCTTTCCCGGGATCCATTGATTTACCTCTTTCCTACTCATTTTCTCTCTCCCTTTTCTCCTTTTAAACATATTTTTAATCATTTTAAAAATCTTTTTATACTTAATATTTATGTGTTAGATTCATTTTATTTTTTGAAGCGCCTCCTGATTTTTATCTTGAGAGGCGCTATATAAAAGATCTTCTTCTTCTACTGGACGTGTCTCCTCTCCCAGAATGCAATATGCACGGAGACACAGTCATCTCTGCTCATCACACCGGGGATCTGGTTCAGTTGCACCTCCCTCTGAACTCCTGACCCATGATGCAATGCAGTGCCAGGAGGACGCTGGCATGAACCTGAACTCATATCATGTAATGATTGATCTTTGATTGGTGATGAAAAGGTGATTCCATGTCTTGGCTGAACCTTCAGTCCGCTACATCCCATCAGACATTATTTCAGTTAGGAACTAAACCCTCATTATGTTTGCTTTAGTAGAGAAGTCACCTGTCTGTTGGTTGTGAGTAAAACTGGGCCAACGCTGGGTGGGACCGACTCCAGAGGACAATTAAAGCATTTTGATTGGAGTGATCTTCAAATGCTCTGATTCTTCTATTGCTGCTTTTTAAATCAAAATTGAACTTTCTCATGTTTGTTCTCTACAGATTTCCCACGACTTTGCTGTGAATTTTAACAAGGAGAACCCGGAATGTGCAGGTAGGACTTCTGGTCTCTGTAGTGACAGACACCTCTCTAACATGAAACGATTCATTCTGTTTGACTTTTCTTAAAGGTGTGACTGACTGAAAAACATCAGAAATGTTTTTCTGATTACATTCGGTCACTCAGCATTTTTCATTTAGTCTGAACATGAAAATCCTACACCTATCTCCTGCACTAGCTTCTGATCATAAAATGATGGTGAAGCTCTAGGATCAGAAATTCCTGACAGATCTACGACACACTGTGAATTAACATTCATGGACTCAACCATTTTGACTCACAACGGGGAAGGCTGTTGTTGGTTTAACATCCAGGAATCAGCAGAGAACGTGATGGCTAGTTTAAGCTAACCGTTAGTGTTAGCAACTCCACCACACAGTAGAAGCTCTTCCAGGCTTGTGGTGCTTGTGGAAATAAAACATCAACATAGGGAGCCTAAGTCATGCCTGTGTTGTCTTGCTTCTGGACCATGGGTCCCCGGAAGAACGAAGAAATGAATGCAAGTCAATGGAGCTAAAAAAGCTATTTTCTAATTCTGCTCGTTATGTGCCATGGATTTCACATATGATGTTCATGAATTTTAAAGATGCATACAATATTTGATACCAAGAACACGCTTATTTTCAAACAGGGGGAAGCGTTATTTTAGGTTTTGTGTGAGAATAAATCCAGGACTACAAATGCACATCACGAAAGTGACGTCATCGAACCAGACACGGAGTAAAACGAAGGGAAAATGGCTGCAAGTTTAGCGAACTTAAAATCCTTCCTTCAGGAGGAAAGAAACACCATAAATCTGGTCATGTGGTAATGCTGTCTGAAGTTCAGCTGTGATGTGGGCAACCTTTAGGTCAGCGTAATGGTGACTTACAAGGCATTCATTCCTACCAGAGACCACTGCAAATGTATTGATTAAACGAGTAAACCACTTCTTTATTGTTTTATAAAGTTTACTGAAATGTAAAAAGTTGTTTCCAGAGTTTTAAATGGGACTTTATTGGCAAGCTTCAGGATTAACCATGTTTAACCACTTCCTCCTTCTCATGGTTGCAGCAGGACTCTTGCAGGACCTTGTTTAAGAGGTCAGTCAGCTGGAACATGCTGTCGTTTCTTCTTGTTGGTCTAAAGCTTTTTCGCTTTGTCAACTCTTAAAGGTCATTAATGAGTTCAGAGAAGCTCTTCAGTCTTAATTACTCTGAGAACTTGTCTCTGTGACCTTCAGACACCAAATCACATCAGAGCTGAGTGAATTCCTACTAATATCCAGAGACAAGATGATAGGGAACCAAATTCCTGAGCACTTCTTCTTCTACTTGCTCATACTTTTATCTCTAGGATATCTGTTTTATGCTTGTTTATTTCAGGCTCTCTTTTTTCCAGACAAGTATTTTAGAGTTTTTCTCAGTGACTTCAGAGGGAACGTTTAGTGTTTAGACTGTTTTCTGCTCTCAGTTGCTTGTCCTTGTGTCTCTGCAGGTATCCAGGGGCTGGTGGAGGCCTACCAGGCCTGTCTACCCAAACTACAACTCTACGGTCCCACCAACATCGCCCCCATCATCCAGAAGGTCGCCAAGTCTGCCTCACAAGAGGTCCACACCAAAGAGGCCATGGTGAGACATGAATGTGTCTACCAGCCAACATCAGACAGAACTTCTTTCAGGATGAATGCAAACAGGAAATGGACAAACTCCAAACAAACATACACAGATTTAAAGCTTTTTCTCTGTAGAGAACTTGAATGCTGTTTGTAGTTCAGATCAGGAACCACCTCTGTCCACACTGGAAACACGTTTGACTGTCTCTCCTCTTTCATCCTTCCAGCAATACTTCATCCTACTCATCCTGACAGACGGTGTCATCACTGACATGGCTGACACCAGGGAGGCCATTGTCCAGGCCTCTCACCTGCCCATGTCCATCATCATTGTCGGGATTGGGAATGCCGACTTTAGTGATATGCAGATGCTAGACGGCGATGATGGAATCCTGCGGTCTCCTAAAGGAGAACCTGTCCTCCGGGACATTGTCCAGTTTGTCCCCTTCCGCAACTTCAAACATGTGAGTTCAAAGCCTCTTGGACCAGAAAAAGGTTCTGTGTTGAATGTTTGGAAATGAATCATTCTGAATCCAACTGGAGGTCCTCAGGGCGCAGTTTTAGGTCCTTGTTGTTTTAATAGGAACACTAAAACATTCTTCTGGTTTCGGTTTCTCAGCCAGACTGGAACTTCTTAGTTGCTCAAACTGTTTCAGATGTTGATTTTTATTTGAGGTTCTGTTGGACTCGTGCTGTACACAGACAATTCTACTGTCACAAAGCTTGCTTATCAGGGCCTGAAAAATCTGTAAGTCATTTTCCAAGGAAACATTTTCATTTATATAGAAAAAGTAATGGTATAAAGGTTCCTGGTTTCTGCAGATCTAGGCCAGGCTGTTCTCCTGAGCCTGTTCCTGTTCCTGTTCAGCTTTGTATCTTAGTATTTAATAACTAACCTGCACCTCACATGTTATCCCCTCATTAAAAGGAGTTTATAACAGACTCCTCTTCACCTTCACATCTCGCTGTAGGTCTGATTTATCTCAGCTCATATTTAGCCATTAGCAGCTTGTGGCACTGAGCTGATCAAACCTCTGAGAGAACCAGATGGTGCCTTAATAAACCGTGGTGTTTGAACATAAGTGTGTGTGACCCTGATGTAGTTTGGAAAGTGTTTTAAATCCATGATCAGATCAGAGACTGGACTTATTAAAGAGGCTGGTTCTCTGCCTGTCAGAGGAACCACGTCTGATCTCAGATGGGAAAGTCTTTATTCATCCAGATAAATCTCCCTGGCTTAATGGCTCTGAGAGGAAGTGGAGGTCTAGTTTAATCAATTTATTTTCCTCCTGGGTTTAATCTGCATGGTGAATGTTCTGATTTTGGCATCAAAGGGACAAATGTCAATTTGGAGCAAAACAGAATGAGACCCAGACTTCTACACAAAGTCTCAAATGCAGGGCCGTGCAGAGACCTTTGAAGGGGAGGGGGGTGCTCAAAGTTAAAAAAGGGGCACATATAGAGCAAAGTTTTTGAAAACAGATTCATGATCCAAAAAGTTAAAAAATTCAGATAACGAGACCCTTGGTTTCAAACAACACAATGAAAACTAGGAAAAATATGTCATTAATTAGGGTAACATTATTTCATAAACAATTGTTTTAGTTTTTAAAGCTGACTTATGTTACAACCATATTTTTTTCCCCTGATCTGAATCCAAGTTGTTTGATTTTTGATTATCTTCCAATTCTGAGTCCTGTTTTGATACCAGGTGGTGATGCAATACATTAAAAAAGAAGAAAAAAATGAAGAAAGTCCCATAGTCATCATCACATACTGGTGATCTCATTGGAGGGGAGTGGTGAGATGCAGCAATGGCTGTGCTAAGGAACTATTTGGTGGTTTTACCCCCAATCCAACCCTTAAAGCTGAGTGTCAAGCAGGGAAGCGTTGGGACCCATTTTTAAAGTCTTTGGTATGTCCCGACCGAGAATCGAACCAGATCTCACAGTCCCAGGGAGGACACCACCACAAGGCCACTGAGCTGGTTCCAAATTGTCCTTCTATCTGTATTTGTATTCAAAACTGACTAAAGACAGCTCATGTAAGAGGTGGTAAAATATGAGTAAAATAAAATAAGTAAAATAAATGCAACCACAGAAAGATATCAAGCGTGATAAACAGCTATGATAGCTGAGATCTTTTCATGTCTGTAGGAAATTCCTGATGCAATTCCATGATCTCTCTCTGAACTTAACACTAGAGCTTTGCTACCAACCTAACAACACCCTTTACAAAATGTAGGAGTGAATACCACCTTCTCTCCTTATAAGGACACACACACACACACACACACACACACACACACACACACACACACACACACACACACACACACACACACACACACACACACACACACACACACACACACACACACACACACACACACACACACTGTCATTTCATCCCATTTCCAGAATACTGCACATTCTATGGCCATAACTTTGCTTCATGGTGCTGATCCAGAATATTTACATCATTATTTATTTCTAGTGTTTCATTTCATTTTCATTTCATTTATTTATAAAGCCCCTTCTGCCACCAATGCAGATGCCCAAGGTGCTGAACACAACACAATAAAAACATAAAACCATCAGAATAAAATATAACAATCATAAAACCAGCATAAAATCAATTAAAAGAGGAAAGTAAAAGCAAAAAATAAAATCCAGAAAAAGATTAAGAGGCCGGGGCATCGAAACCGGGTAAAATTTGCTAATCCTGAAAAGCCTTGACAAAAAAATGGGTCTTAAGGCGAGTCTTAAAAACCCCCAATGAGGGTGACTGACGCACCACCAAAGGCAACTGGTCCCAAAGTGCAGATGCCAACACAGAGAACGCACGGTACCCCTGTGACCTGCACTTAGTGCGTGGAACGATCAACAGCTCCCAGCTGGCTGAGCGAAGTGCCCGCGGGAGGCATGTCTATGCAAAAGGTTGCCAAGATATGCTGGAGCATATAATACTAACATAATAGCCAACAATAAAAAAAAACATAAGAAAGTAATAAAACATATGCAGTTATGCTCACATTCACTTTTGCCATCTCTTCATGGACGGCATAATATTTATCACATGTTTAACCCTCTTATGACCATAAACATAACTGTTATTTATTTTTTCTGGCTGTGAAATAGTGCCAAAAAGTGCAAAATGTTTGTAACTCTGCTCCTTTTTTCAGAACAACCTCAGGTTTCAGTGTCTGCTTTGTATTTACCATACCATATCATACCATACCATACCATACCATACCATACCATACCATACCATACCACGTTTATTTATATAGCACATTTAAAAACAGCATGACAGCTGACCAAAGTGCTGTGCAGTAAAAATGACAAACCCCAAGATAAAAACAGATAAAAGTCATATAGGAGGTAAGAGGTAAAATCTAAAAAATTGTAAAAGAAACATACAACAATAAAATACAGAGCCACAATATAATGTAAACACACTAAAAACTAGACCATTGAATAAAAGCTAAATGATAGAAGAAGGCCTTCAGTACCGACTTAAATCGACCCAGTTCTGGGGCCTGTCGAACACTAAGGGAGAGCATTCCAGAGTTTAGGAGCATTGAACGCAAAGGCCCGCTCTCCACGAGATTCATACCTCATTTTCGGGACGCACAAAAGCGACTGATCTGCAGATCTCAGGTTCCTGGTTGGAGCATAATGCTTTATCAGTTCTGAAAGATAAGCCGGGGCTTGACCATTCAGAATGTTATAGACAAAGGTCAAAACCTTAAATTGGATGCGGTATTTAACAGGCAGCCAGTGCAAGCGTGCAAAGTCTGCTTTGTATTTTGTATTTATGTTTATCAAAGTCTGTAAAAATGCAGCTTAAATGAAAAAAAAAATTGATTTGAATTTTTTACATTTATTACTAAATAGGAACCTCAAAAGGACTTGGTCAAACTATTTCAAATGAACAGTTTAAACTTTGAACTTTGTTACAAACAGTCAGAAAACAGTGTGAACCCTACCTCATGTTTATCAGTTTAGACTTTTTCTATATTCTAAATTTCTGTCTGCAGCCCTGTCTGTAACCACAGGTACTGTAGGTCTATGCTCTGGTTCAGAGAATGGCATGAAGTAAAATAAATATTAGGTGACACAACTGGATGGAAATTTCTATCAGCATTATAATTATTGATATGCCAAATAAAAAGTAATAATAAAAGGTGAAATCTAAACATTTCATGACAAAAAGTCAACTAATAAAATTCTGCACAGATATAAAATTATATTTTCAATTAAATAAATATTTATTGTAAGTATAAATAATGCTGGAATGAAGCTGAATCTTACATTTAGTAGTTGAGTGTTAAAATAAAAACAAGGTGACAGTAATCAGTCCCTCATGCCACCATTTACAGGAACTTCTGGGACACCTGATTAAGGTGGATTTTCTTTGTGACGTTTCCATAACGTTATAAAAGCTGCTGATGCAGATGATCAATTATCTCCTCCGTTTCGTTCTCCGCTCTCCCGTCGCGGTTCGCTCCGTTCCCTGTGATGCTGAAAAGCTGGTTTTCCTCTAATGATTTTCGGAATAACATGAATTACATCATGTAATACCTCTTTGGAAAGCTCATTTAGAATTATTTTAATTCGATCAGCCATTCAGAAGTTATCACGTGGATAATCTCTCGTGTCCTCTTTCTGTCTCAGACATGCTGACTCTGCTCCACACCCACTAACCACAGACTCAAATGCTATTGTAAACAAAAGCTCTGATATTAAAATTCATCCAGCTCACATGATGCAGGCAGAATAAAAATCTCACAGCTAGATGAGCGCAGACTCCTGCCTACAAGCAAAACACCGGTTTTAGTTGTCTCCATGGTGACAGATTTAGAGCAACTGTAGGGACAGCCAATCACACGTTGGCATGAGGCCGCAGAGTTAATCAGTGAGCTTGTGGGCGGGTCTAAGGGTTCAGCTTGAGGAGGCTGCCTCCACATGGTCCTAGTGCCTAACCTGTATCCAAGTATGACACTTTTGGACGGCTAAATCTGACGGAAGACCGAAAAAAGTGCACTTTGGGCACTTCGGACAAAAGGGGCAGTTGCTCAAGCACCCTCTGGCCCCATTAAGCATGAAATGGAGTTATCCTAGTGGCTCCAATAAGAGAAAGAAGCAGCATGCTTCATAAAAGCTTTTATTTTCACTTCTGAAAGTGACGTCGTTTTTTTGATGTAAACATCAAAAGGAAACAGAAAAGGAAAGACAATGGAAAAATGTTTAAAGGGAGGAAAACATAGACCAAAATGGAAAATAGAAAAAAAAACAAAGGCAAACTCACAGGAGCACTGACAGGAAAAAGAAAGCAGAGCAAATATTGAAAGCGCTCAAAGGGAGAGAAATACAGGAAAAAAGAGGAGGACTAATAAAATGGGAAAATAACTCATGTCAGAAGAGGGGAGTGTTTCACAAATCCAGTTGAAGGTAAGACTGTTGAAAATTTAGTGTAAGGGGCCCCATGTCTGTGTTCGCCTTGGGCCCCCAAATTGCTAAATCCGTCTCTGGCTGCATGTGGTTACATTTGGCTTCGGGAACTCCTGAAATCTGACGTGATCAAAGGATTTCTGTTAACGTGTTGAGGAAACTCGATTGATGTTTTCTGTTGATCCTCGCCAGGCATCTCCAGCGGCTCTGGCGAAGAGCGTTCTAGCAGAAGTGCCCAACCAGGTGGTTGACTACTACAACAGCAAGGGCATCAAGCCCAAAGTGCCCAGTGAATACCAGTCTTCCAGGCCATTTGGCCCCTGATGTCCATCATACAGATGTTTCCTGTCTGTGTTCTTTGTTAATGCAGATGTTAAAGGTGCTACACGCTGGATTTTACCTTGACATGAAGAAGCTGTAGACACTCGCTGGTTCTGAGGGACCAGGAGCCGGGCTTTACACCGTTATCTACATGATGTCAGAGTTTATGTTTATGTCAGAGGCAGTAGCGTCCATGCAAAGCAACTTTCTAAGGAGATTTATTTATAGATTTATATAAATAAATAAGCAGGCCCTCGTTGCTCAGTCCGATGTCCCGAGTTGTTTCAGCCTGCACCGAAAAGCAGAAATCGACTTCACCAATCTTTATTTAATTTTTTTAACTTTATTTAACCAGATGAGTCGATTGAGAACTCACTTTTGTTTACAGTGACGATCTAGCCAAGAGGCAGCAGCAACAGACACATAATTAGCTTTACACCAAAGAAAAACAGATGAGATAAAACACAAGATAAAAATGAGATAAAACAGTGAGACATAAAGACAAAGAACTGTTCTCATATGTAATATGTACAAGCAATCTAAACAGACCTAAACAGTTTTTAAGTAGTCAGAAGCAGGAACATTTATCAGAAGGTAGATAATGGAATATAGGCAATGAGCTTCAGTGATTTTTGCAGCTCATTCCAGTCGTTGGAAGTAGCAAACTGGAATGAGGTGCAGCTAAAGTAGGTGCGAGCTTTGGGAATAATCGTAGAGATTAAGTTACTGGAATGTAAATTGCACTGGTTGTTGGAAGTGATGAGTAATGAGCGAATACATGACGTGTTCTACTGATGATTGTTTTGTATATCAATCAAAAAACTGACCCATATTCAAATAAACACAGACGAAATACGAACAAAGTTCCTGCGGTGAAATTCAGCCAATTATGCTCTGAGTTGTTGGTAAAACCTGGACCAGGATGCCATATAAAATCCAAACTATAGCACCTTTAGCATTAGCTGTGCATGCAGGCCAATAGGCAGAGCAGGTAGTGTTTGTGAACAGCCCACTGATCCAAACGCGGCGTCCCTGCAGACAGCATGATAGGCGGGGAAATGCTGGATGAAGGACTGTATACGCCTTCCTCCAGCTCCTGCTGTTTTATAAGAGTAAATTAAGGTTTTGCTAAATTTCGTAAAGTTCGTATCTTGTAAAGCATTTTGAATCTGTCTGATGAACAACAAGCAAGCTCCCTTCAGACACGTCTGCATCCTCTGTTGTTGGATTTTCTAAAGGCAACGCAGATGCATGAACTGTTGTTTTGCATGCAAATCTCCATGCAGGACTTCCTGGTCCCTGTGGTTCCTGTTTGTTGGTAGTGGCTAATTTAAGGTAACCATGTTTACAGCACGCCCAATGATAGGCTGCTCTACTCTCAAGCATGTTCACATGTTCATGAAACTGTGTGAGTAGATTAAAAAGCACAACCTGAGTATTTCTGGAGAAACTTGTAGGTTATGGTGGTAGATTTTGGCCTCTTTGTGACACAACCCCTGTCCGTGTTCGCTGTCATACCTCCAGACTGTTCCTGATGCTAAAGGTTCAGTCCAGATAGACCATAATACACCACTTTCTGTAACCAGCCATTAGAATAAGAGATGAAAATTCTGATGATGCTAAAGTAAACAAAAACTATATTATTGAAAGAATTTATTTTCTCACCTCTTCCTGTTTATAAACTTTGGTGTTTTCTGTTGCTTTGTTTAATTTGACAATACTTTTGGTTTATATTTGTTGTAGGTAAAGATGGAGGACAGGAGTTGGGTCACATGACTTGTGATATCATGCAGTATTGTGTGCAAAACAATAACAAAATGACTCATGATAATAAAGAAGTAGTCAATAGATCTTCTATGTGTCCGAGTGTTTTTAAAGGATGAAGAACATCAGTCGAGTTTAATCTGGAAGACAAACCTCCACCAGCTGCTCCACTCTGACTCTGGTCCAGCATGGAGATGACCCCTCCATTGTGGGCTGGATGGTGGGTTAGCAAGTTTTGGAGCAGTTAGTTAGACTGTGTGTTAGTTGAGTTAGGGGTCGTTTGTTTTCTGACTTTAAAGATACTGGTCAGTGGAAAATTTCCGTTGAATGACGTGTAAAAAAAGTAAAAGTCTAAAAATTATTTCAACTTTTCAAGCTGGATTTTGAGGAAAATCCGTTGTTTTTGAATAGCGCTGCAAAAAAAAAAAAAAAGACCCAGCTGCTTACGTAATACTAGCTTGTTCCCCCCAGGAAGCTAACATAAACATTCGGTAGCTCGTTTTTTTCTGTGTTAGCAATACAGCAGAGGACAATGTTTCATCAGAAGAAGAAGAAGAAAATATAATTTCTATAGAGCCTCTCAAGATAAAAATCACGAGGCGCTTCACAAAAACAAAAAGAAAATGTAAAAATATAAAAAAGCATTTAGAATTTTTTTTAAAATATATTTAAAATGAGCAAAAATAGGCAATTGGGATTTTAAAGAAAAAATGTTAAGAAAGAGAGAGCATGTCAGAGTCCGATGTAGCTTCTGAAACCTCTTGCCAGTGGGTCAGAATTTTTTCCTGTGGAATACGATGAGGAGAATGGATTGTCGGATAGCCACCCATAAGCTGGATATCTGTAATCATGGAGAAGCACCAGTAGCTGCCCTCGTAGGACAGCTACTGGTCCTATGGTTAACCCTAACCCTCTTTCAATAATGTATGCAAAAAACAGTTATTCACTGATTAGGGGGAATTTTGATTTTCTACAATTATTTATGGCAAAATTGCTAAATAAAGTGAAAAACTGAACCTAGTTTATCTTCATATGGGTGGAAAATGCAGTTACAATTAATTTGCACAATTTACATGCCGAGTCTGACCAGTACCTTTAAAGGAGAATAATTTGCATAAAGAATGCATAAAGATAGTTTTGTTATTTTTGTTTTAAAAAAGAGGCAGAAATTATAAAATTTTGTCTTCCATCTGCTTCTTTTCATTCAAGTTGTACTGGGTTTATATGCATATTGTTTATTTATTTGTTGTATTTTTTTAATTGAATAAAATAAATACGAGAAAAAATATATTTCCAGCTCCCAACACCCTCAGTGTGGCTCCTAACCAGCAACAGCATTTAAACCAAATCATCTGTTTGTTTAGAGGTGTGACGACTCCAAAAAGAGGAGGAGGAGATGGGTGAAAAGAGGCCATTTGTTCTGTCAAAAGGACAAAAGAGGAGCCGCAAATCAACACGAAGCTGCTGTCACAGTAAACACCAGAAACACAAAGCAGCTTTGCGTGGAGCGTCCAACCAAACATAAAAGCAGAAACTTATTCCACCTGATATAAAGAAACAACTGCAGCCAGACAAAAGGATTTCATTATCATTCCTAACATCCAACTGAAGAACAGATTATAGGAAACATCTGCAGCAGCTGTAATCCCTCCCTGTAACCTCTGTGAACGTCATCAGACACGTCACAAGCTAAAGAGCTGCAACAAGAACAATAAACACAACCTTGTTACTGATGAGGGAGATGCAGACTTATTATTGGCTGTAACTTAATCACTTTTGTTTACATCAACCAGCTGATCAGGGAATGTCTGTTTAGAACAACCTCAAGTTAACACTCATAAGAGAAAATAACTTCTGATAATAATAACTGTTCCGAAACTTAAACATCAGAAATTTGAGAACAGAAATCATTATTTATATAAAACCAGAACCAGAGTCACAAAACCCGCAACCAGGTTTCATTTTCTGAGGTGAAAGTTCTGCTGCTCTCAATCTGGGACACGGGGTCCAAACACTGAGCCCTGAGGCTCTCCGGCTGGGTCTGAAGGTGTGAATGATCAGCACACCTCAGCTGGATACAGATGTTTCTCTCTGAATCAAAGCCAAGCTGAACATCTGAAGTGAAACTTTACAATCTAAAGTTTGTTCTTAGCTGAAGTGACTCGGCAGAAAGTTCTTTCTGCTTATTAAAGTTGAGACCTTAAGCTGATGGTTCTGTAAGGTACTGCACTTTACAGGGAATCCTCTGACCCATGCTGGTCTTCATTAACACTGCCTAATTAAAGCAGGTTCAGCAGGTCTTTAATTGCCTCATCTGACGAGCGTCGGACTTGTTTCCTTACTTACGGGGAGGTTAACGAGGAGCAGCCAATCAGGAACCAGCATGCAGCTGCCAGCTAACAACACAGAAACCTTAACCCAGAAGAGCTGACACCTGAACATCTAACATGTGAGAGCAGCGGGATTATGATGAGACTGGTGTGTTTCCATAGAAACAACACCTTTCCAAAACCAAAACACTGAGTTAATTATTTAGAGATAAGGAGTTTTAAATGTTAGGGGAAAATAAATCTAACACTAGAAAATGTTCTTTCATTCAATGAAGTTTATGCTTTTATTTAATTTTATTTTTTAGCGTCTCTGTTCCTTAGCTGGTTTCCCATTTAAATCCCAGATAGATTTGCTGGTCCAGCATTTCCTGCTTAAGTCTCTCCTGATCTATAAATGGGATGTATTTATGGGATAGCATGGACCCTGTTCCTGTAGGGAAAACACCTCCGCTTCATTGTTCCATTAGAAATGTTCTATCTCAGTCATATTTGTTGTTTTATAAGGTTAAATCTGAATCTTTTGAATCAGTCGGCCCGATATCCGATGACATGATCGGATTGGAGCATTGATCCTTCTGCGAATGTATTGATTTAATGAGTGTTCAACACCTTTAAAAAGACAAAACTCCAAATAAAAGTAGGAATCGGGCAGTTTTGCCCGGAGACCCAGCATTAGCTTTATGCTTGTTTCAGTTTAGTTTGTGACATCATCAAATTCAGTCACATTAAACTGCTCCACTGGTGCTTCCATAACTGAAGCAGGCGTCTTCCATCATGGACTTGTGTTTTTAAAGTCTGATCATCCCTCTGATGGAACAAGAGAGAGATTAGATTCTAACCAGACCAAATGTAGCTTACACATTTTGCTACAAATGATGAAATAAACCTAGTTTTACTTGTTTAGATTCAAACAATCATCAAGTCATTAGTTTCAAACTAAGAAGTGTTTCCTTTCATAGAGAGAAAAGGTGAAGAAGCCCTGAGAAAATAAATAAACTCAGAGGATATTTAAAGTGGAGAGGTTTTTGTTCTCTGGAGATGAGACGGGCGCACCGGCTTGTTCGGAGACGAGCAGTGTGGCGTTTGTTGGCAGCTGCTGAGGCTGGAAGAGGATGAGAGAACTTTGAGTGATGGCTCGCCGCTCTCAGAAGACACTCATTAGCATATTGTACTAAATGCTGCAGCAGACACACACTGGGAGGAGGAACAGGGACTCCTCTGAGTGGTGGAAACCTCCTTCCACAGCTACCTACTGTATTACTGATTCAAAGGATCATAATTACATCAGCTCTAAAACCAGAGTACAGTGGAGATGGAGGAGAACCATGTTTATTCATTTAGAAATAAATAAATGAAAAAGTCAGCTGGAAGTTGAGGAAAAAATAAAGAATAATTTAAAACAAAAAGCAAATGAAAAGAAACAGCTCTGCAGAAAGAAGAGCAAACATGAGAAGAATCTGTTTTTCTCCTGAGGCTCCAAAATATTCATGAGTTTGTTTAAGCTAATAGAAGCTGATCCAGAAACCCACAGACTGCTGGTGTTCAGAAAAACAGATCTAAAAATGTTCTAATCCATGATGGAGAGGAACTGGTTCTCTACTGAAAACTAAAGTTATTCAGGACAAACATGAATCTCCTTCTAATAATTTCTAGTTCTACTCAAACACAAAAAGGTTCTGTTAGAAAACAACAGCTTATACACAGATGATGTTCCTGACACACACACACACACACACACACACAATATATATATATATATATATATATATATATATATATATATATATATACATACCAAGTAGTGTTTCTATGGTTACATTGTGACCCATCCTCTGTCCCACAGCACTCACAGGAAGCCCAGTCCTCCCAGCTGCCCTCAAGGCAGAAAATAAATTATGCAATTGTGTCATGACATCATGTGGCTACTTCCAGGACAGCCAATAGCTATTGTCCTTACTGATGAGTGTGCAGCACCATGAACATGAAACTGAAGCTGATAATTAGTTCTTTAAACTCAGACGGATCCATGCTCTTTGTTTGTTCCTGTTGAAGATAAATCTTTGTGAGCCTGAATATCTGGTGAGGTTAACAAAAAAATGTTTTACTTGTCATTTTAAAACGTGATCGGCCACTCTGAGTTTCACGTGCAGGCTAAACATGAATATAATAGTCTTCTACCCGCATTTCCTGCAGCCACCAATAGAAAACAGATGGGGAAACGCTCAGATTAGAAAAGCCAGTCAGATCTATGTCACACTGTAGAGCGTTCATGAAGTCACTCAGCTTGGCTCGTGACGGAGGAGGCTGCTGATGATTTAGCATCCAGGGGCTTCGTTCATCAGACTTCCGTAGCAACATTCCTATATTCCATTCTATGAATGAAATGTAGAATGTTCATACAAACGGTCAAAATTGATCAAAAACATGCAATGGCCACGCACGTTCCTCCGCAATCATCTGTTGATAAATGGTAACCATGCATACCCAGGTGCACATGTCTGTTCAGTCATTTGCATACAGAAATGCCATCAATAAACCTCCTCAGCTCATGAGGGGAATCCCTGCGTTCGTCCTGAAAAAACCCACCATAATTGACAGTGAGAACGAGGCAGTGGCTGCTGAATTAGAAGAGAACAAAGAAGTTGCAGAGGTTGTAATTTTATTATTGTAAACGCGGTCAGGACAGAGAGGTCCCTGTCAAAAATAAAGAATTAATGGTTCAACATAAAGTAAATATGGGAAACATGAAGCAACTG